ACGCAGTGATGTAGGACTGCTCGAGGCAACAGCGTTGCTAGGCTATACGCAAACACGGTGACGCGGCACCGCTTCCTACTGTGACGTGGCACGCAACAGGCACCACTGCGGCTATATAAGGGAACTGCACAGCAGCTACGAAGCAGTTGTAATGTAGCAGTCGCCGAGTTAAGTAGTAGTCGAGCGAGTGTTATCAACAGTTCTCCAGTGAGCAGACTACAGTTGGAGTATAGCAGCCGTCACGGAAAAAGGACCGGACGTGTGTGTAATTGGGAGTGTGTGATACAGTGATACATAGCTCCCCTACTGTAAACGTGTAGACTACTGAAGGCAGAGTGAACTGATTTGCGGATAGGGTTATAAATCGTGAAACCCCGCAACAGTGTAAACAGATTATTGCAATTAGGGTTATAAAGTGTGAAACCCCACAACTGTGTTATAAATAATTGTAGCCGTTACTTGTAGGTTGTTAAATAAACCAATTAACAATCCGTACGGCGTCTTCAGTGTCTAAACACGTTATAATATGTTATAAATAGAAGAAATACCTGACCCCAAAATGAAAGACAACAGAGTTATCAAATTCTTTTATAAATTAAGAAAAATGGTATTACTGCCAAAATATTATGTTTCACTTCCTCCGTAATAATTCTGCGTTACTTTGCAGCTTTCAGCCAATGCATTCAAGTCATGCACCAATACAGTAAACCCTCACTAATCCAGATTAACTGTGGGAAGGTCATCTGGATTAATAAAGCAAAAGATAGCCCTAAAAACAACAACAACACACAAACAACAACAGAAAACAAATAAATGGAAAATTTAATAATATAGGTAGTCAGAATTACTGAGTTTTTGTACTCTGTCCATCATCCTGTATTCTACAAAGTAGGAAACACATTTTGGAAACTGGTTCTGTTTCCATCCTCAGGTGAGGGGGGAAGACACCTACTCAGTTGGGTCCCTCAGAAAGAGCTAACCTCAATCAATGGACAATTTGTCAGAGTTCAGAGTTACTTTACGACTAAGTCCTACATTTCACTTGAAGTGTAGGATTGATATAGGGTTAACCAATAAGGGGAAGCACAACAGACCATTGACGATCGCGTTGCAAGGGCCAGATTATTATGACCCACCCCTTATGCATTCATTCATACTTTAAGACTGGCAGTTTACTACCAATGAGTTTGTCTTGGAGAAAAGCCCCTTGAGATTCACAACTAATAATTTTACTTTCCAACTGAACACTTGCGGTTCTAGGCCTGATGTAACATCCTCTCTGACAAGGGGATGTATCTGTCATTCAAATTACTGCTTGCCCTCACTGGCTCAGTCATTCTCAGGTCCAAATACTGTGGAACTCATGACATTTTACGGGGTCTACGATTCAAGACTCCCAACAACCTGCAGGGCCAGGTCCCCATATTTATAACACCCAGGTACAGGGTGGCCCTGTTATACTCCCAAGCACTGGGTTCTCTCTTCCTTGCCTCCTGCAACTTGCAGGGCTATGGTGGAGGTATTCGACCCCACCTCCACACAGACTCCTTGTACTGCTAAAATTCTGGAAATTGAAAGTAACAGCAAGTATAGTAAATACAAGCAATCAGCCCATATGACACGCTTAACCAACCCAATCAGCCAACACAGGTTCAACATTTCTCCTATGTATCCCCTTTATCAGCAATGAGGTTTCCAACTCAGAGAAGATCTGTGTGATGTGACTGATTCATGAGTTTCCATAAAAGGTTTTACGAGTAGTCTTGAGTGTTCAGGTTTTTCTCTACAGATGGTGCTAGCAGTAGGAACTACTTGTTTTCACAAAATTTTCCATTTTTTTTGTCTGTGTATTGATGCTCATACACTTGGTTTTGTTGACTAGGTTTGTAGCATAAATTTCTACATCCTTTTCTATCCTAGTTCCACGTATGTGCGCACTCTTATCAAAATTCTTACTGCATATATTCCTGTTATCTTCTGCCAAATTAGCCTGGTCTCAAGTGATTAAATACTTGTAGTAAAGCTGACCGGGGTTGTCCGGTGTATTAAGTTAGCTTTTCCTAAGGGACCCAAATGAGTAGGCGTATTCCCCCCTCACATAAGGGTAGAAACAGATCCAGTTTCCGAAAGATTGTGTTTTCTAGTTTCTAGAATACCAGACGATGGATGAAGTCTAAAAAGCAGTAATTCTGAGTGTTACACACCACAGTCAGAACCCTTTAGAATCTAACGCAGGTAGTGCTGATGAAAGTAAATAGAAAAATATCACTGTAGCTCCTTTGTTTAAAAACTATAAAAAGACAAGAAAATGAAATCCAGGGTCTCCTTCATCCAGCTCAAGCCAATCTTGGACACATTCTTGAATGGTTTCAGTCTTTCCAGCTGCCCTCGAACAGTCTGAAAGTCCTCTTGCTCCTCAATCCCAAGAGTATTTCAAAGTTATGTACTCAACTGTGAATAGAATTTTTCATTTTTCATATTTTGATTTGGATTATTGATGGTTCACTGTATTGTGAAGCATATCACAGCTCCTCATGTGTGAGAATCCCCGTAAGTTCATAAGAATTCAAAGTAATGCAACACATTTCAAGTAACTAACTCCATGGAGCTGAGCTCTTCCTGAGAAACTGTCACTCAGACACCCAAGACTTCCCAACATCTTACAGTTCACAACCAAAAGAGCCTTCCACTGGTCCTTATCCTGAGCCAGATCATTCCAGTCCATACCACCCTATCCTATCTCTCTAAGAACCATTTTATATTGTTGCGTGTTTCCTAGATAATGCAGCAAGAAAATTGTGTGGGTTTCGGATTAGACAAAGATGTTTATTGGACAATCACTTTTTACACTCACTAGTACAACCACTCGCATTTGTAAGGCCTTCAGACATTTCCTCTTCACTGTAAAGTGAATCTGTTTCCAAAACCAAAAGAAAGGAGTGGGAGACACCTACTCCACTGGGTCTATTAGGAACAAAATCAGGAAGAACCTGTCCTATTCTTTATGCTTACATCTCCCATTTTCATTGATGTATCATATTTCACTTAACAGTCGGTACTAGCAGTAGGCAGTATGTCAATGTGAGGTTCCTCCACATTACTCTTTCTGGGTTACACTCTCGGCATGGTTTCATGGCTTCATTTTTACTTTCTTTTCTGTCCTAGATTTAGATCATCTATATTTCTATAACTTTAGCTGACTTGTATGGCTTGTTCAGTGACTGATATTAGTTTTTTTTAGTGGATCCAACTGAGTAAGTGCCTCCACACCATTCCACCTAAGGATGGAAACACATTCAGCTTCCAAAACTGTCTTCTCTTCAGAATTCCAGGTGATGGATAAACCCAGCACTATATACCATTGCTGAAACCCTTCAGGATTATTTTATATAACCATATTTCCAGAAAACAAGACTATAAACTTAGAGACAACTCAATGAAGTTCAGTACTCACGCTTACATCTAATACAATAAATCTTGATGTTAAAAAAGAACTTAAGTCAGCTGCAACAAAGGATTCTTTTCTTGCTAACATTATCAAAGTTTGAAATATACTGGGAAAACAGGAAAAGTTTTGCAGTGTAGCAAATAAAAGCACAGCCTTGAAGAGATGTAGGGAGGGAAGGAAATGAGAAAAAAGAAAACTAAAGCATCACAAAGAGATACAAATACTTATGAAATGAAATATAAAATTTTATCTTCACTTAGTGGAAAAGTTTCATCACTCAGAATTATTGGATTTTTGGACTGTCGATCCTCTAGTATTATAAAAAGCACCAAATAACACAACGTTTCAGACACTGGATCTGCTTCCATCCTCAGGTGAAGAGGTGGGAGACACCTACTCTGCTGGGTCCATTAGAAAGAGCTAACCT